CACCCCGCGCCTGCCATACTGGTTATACTGGTTATACTGGTTATACTGACACTGGTGTACAGACACTGCAGGGACACCGCGCCTGCCATACTGGTTATACTGGTTACACTGGTTACTGGTTACACTGGTGTACAGACACTGCAGGGACACCCCGCGCCTGCCATACTGGTTATACTGGTTATACTGGTTACACTGGTGTACAGACACTGCAGGACACCCCCGCGCCTGCCATACTGGTTAGACTGGTTATACTGGTTACACTGGTTACACTGGTGTACAGACACTGCAGGGACACCCCGCGCCTGCCATACTGGTTATACTGGTTACACTGGTTACACTGGTTACACTGGTGTACAGACACTGCAGGGACACCCCCGCGCCTGCCATACTGGTTATACTGGTTAGACTGGTTACACTGGTTACACTGGTGTACAGACACTGCAGGGACACCCCCGCGCCTGCCATACTGGTTATACTGGTTATACTGGTTACACTGGTTACACTGGTGTACAGACACTGCAGGGACACCCCGCGCCTGCCATACTGGTTATACTGGTTATACTGGTTATACTGGTTACACTGGTTACACTGGTGTACAGACACTGCAGGGACACCCCGCGCCTGCCATACTGGTTATACTGGTTATACTGGTTACACTGGTTACACTGGTGTACAGACACTGCAGGGACACCCCGCGCCTGCCATACTGGTTATACTGGTTATACTGGTTACACTGGTTACACTGGTGTACAGACACTGCAGGGACACCCCCGCGCCTGCCATACTGGTTATACTGGTTATACTGGTTATACTGGTGTACAGACACTGCAGGGACACCCCGCGCCTGCCATACTGGTTATACTGGTTATACTGGTTATACTGGTGTACAGACACTGCAGGGACACCCCCGCGCCTGCCATACTGGTTAGACTGGTTATACTGGTTATACTGGTTAGACTGGTTACACTGGTGTACAGACACTGCAGGGACACCCCCCGCGCCTGCCATACTGGTTATACTGGTTATACTGGTTATACTGGTTACACTGGTGTACAGACACTGCAGGGACACCCCCCGCGCCTGCCATACTGGTTAGACTGGTTATACTGGTTATACTGGTTATACTGGTGTACAGACACTGCAGGGACACTCCCCGTGCCTGCCATACTGGTTAGACTGGTTATACTGGTTACACTGGTTACACTGGTGTACAGACACTGCAGGGACACCCCCTGCGCCTGCCATACTGGTTATACTGGTTATACTGGTTACACTGGTTACACTGGTGTACAGACACTGCAGGGACACCCCTGCGCCTACCATACTGGTTACACTGGTTATACTGGTTATACTGATTACACTGCAGGGACACCCCCCCTGTGCCTGGGGACCCCAGTGCCCTCCCAGTGCCCTCCCAGTGCCCTCCTAGTGCCCTCCCAGTGCTTCCCAGTGCACCCCAAATACCCTGCAGGCCCCCCAGTAACCCCAAATTTCCCCCCAGCCCCACACTGGTCCATACTGGTCCATACTGGTTTATACTGGTTTATACTGGTCTATACTGGTCTGACCTGCAGCGGTGCCAGCTGCTGCACCAGCGTGTCCCAGCATCCTCCCAGTGTCCCCAGTGTCCCCCATGTCCCCCAATTCCCTCTCTGTTCCCCCAGCCCCGCACTGGCCCATACTGGTCCATACTGCTCTATACTGGTTTACACTGGTCCATACTGGTCCATACTGGTCTATACTGACCTGCAGCGGTGCCAGCTGCCGCACCAGCGCATCCCCATGTCCCCCATTTTCCCCTCTGCTCCCCCCCAGCCCCACACTGGCCCATACTGGTTTATACTGGTCTATACTGGTCTATACTGGTCCATACTGGTTTATACTGGTTTATACTGGTCCATACTGGTCTATACTGGTCTGACCTGCAGCGGTGTCCCCATGTCCTCCCAGCGTCCCCTGTGTCCCCCAATTCCCTCTCTGCTCCCCCCCAACCCCACAGCCCCATACTGGTTTATACTGGTCTATACTGGTTTATACTGGTTTATACTGGTCTATACTGGTTTATACTGGTCTGGTTTATACCTGCAGCGGTGCCAGCTGGCGCACCAGCACATCCTCCCAGTGTCCCCCAATTCCCTCTCTGTCCCCCCCCAGTCCCGCAGTGGTCTATACTGGTCCATACTGCTCTATACTGGTTTATACTGGTTTATACTGGTCCATACTGACCTGCAGCGGTGCCAGCTGCCGCACCAGCGCGTCCCCGAGGGCGGCGGGGTCGAGGGCAGGCGGGGTCGTGGCCCAGGCCCAGCAGGAGCTGCGCGGCCACCGCGGCCACCGCCCGGGCCAGCGCCGGAGCCGCCCCGCAGCCGCCCCCCCAGCCGGCCCAGCGTGTCCTCGGGGGTCCCCAGAGCCGCCCTGGACCCCCCCCCGGCAGCCTGGGGGGACAATGAGGGGGGGGGACACCGTCAGGAGCGGGGGGACACAATGGAGAGCAGCCGCCCAGCCGGCCCAGGCGTGTCCTCGGGGGTCCCCAGAGCTGCCAGGGACCCCCAGCGGCCTGGGGGACAATGAGGGGGACATGGCAAAGGAGGGGACACAATGGAGAGCAGCCACCCCAGCCGGCCCAGCGTGTCCTCGGGGTCCCCAGAGCAGCCGGGACCCCCGGTGGCCTGGGGACAATGGGGGGAGCATCATCAGAGGGGGACACCATCAGAGGGGGGACACGGGGGGTGCTTGGGGACAATGGGGGAGGACATGGTAAAGGGGGGACACAATGGGGAGCAGCCGCCCCCAGCCGGCCCAGCGTGTCCTCGGGGTCCCCAGAGCCACCGGGACCCTGGCGGCCTGAGGGGACAATGAGGGGGACATCATTAGAGGGGGACACCATCAGAGGGGACACACGGGGGTGCTTGGGGACAATGGGGAGCAGCCGCCCCCAGCCGGCCCAGCGTGTCCTCGGGGGTCCCCAGAGCTGCCAGGACCCCCCGGCGGCCTGAGGGGATAATGAGGGGGACACCCTCAGAGAGAGGGGACATGGGGGGGTGCTTGGGGGCAATGGGAGGGTTGGGGACATGGGGGGACACGGGGGATGCTTGGGGACAATGGGGGGTTGGGGACAAGGGGTGTTGCAGGGACACGGGGGGTTGAGGACAAGGGGGTAGGGGCAGTTGGGGACAAGGGGGTGGCAGGGACACCGGAGGGGGCTGGTAGGGTAGTTGGGGACAAGGGGCAGGGACAGTTGGGGACAATGGGGGGTTGGGGACAAGGGGGGACACGGAGGGGGACCTGGGGTGGTGACACGGGGGTATAGAGGGGTGGGACACTGGGGGGACACAGGGGGGCACAGGGAGGGGGACAAGGGGGTGACACGGGGGGACATAGAGGGGACACGTGGGGACACAGGAGGGGACACAGGGGGTCATAGGGGGGACACGGGGGGACACAGGAGGGGACACCAGAGGGGACATGGAGGGGGTGACACGGGGAGGGGAGGTGACACAGGGGGTCACAGTGGGGGGAACTGGGGTGGTGACACCGGGGAACATGGGGGTCACAGGGGGTCACACAGGGGGTGACACGGGGAGGTGACACAGTAGGGAGTCACTGGGGGGGACATGGGGTGGTGACAGGGGGGGTATAGAAGGGTGGGACACTGGGGGGGACATGGGGGGCACAGGGGGACAGTGGGGAAAAAGGGGGTGACACAGGGGGGACACAGGAGGGGACACAGGGGGACACAGGAGGGGACACAGGGGGGGACATGGGGACAGGGGGGACACAGGGGGTGACACGGGGGGGACACAGGGAGGGGACATGGGGGGACAGAGGGGCCACAGGGAGAGGACAATGGGGGTGACACAGGGAGGTGACAAGGGGGGGACAGAGGGGGCCACAGGGAGAGGACAATGGGGGTGACACAGGGAGGGGACATGGGGGACAGAGGGGCCACAGGGAGAGGACAATGGGGGTGACACAGGGAGGTGACAAGGGGGGACATTGGGGAGGGACAGAGGGGGACACAGGAGGTGACACAGGGGGACATGGGAGTCACAGGGGAGACAGGGGGGTCCCAGGGTGGGGGTCCCAGGGTGGGAGTCCCACCTCGTCAAAGCCGAGCCCAGCGCAGGGACCCCGGCCGCCGTGAAGGGGAAGGCGCCGCTGTCGGGGACAGCGGGCGGATCCTGGGGAGGGGGACAGGGGGTGACAACGGGACAGGTGGGGGACACCCAGGGGGACACCCAGGGGACCCAGGTGTGTCCCCAGACCCCCCAGGTGTCCCCAGACCCCCCAGGTATTCCCAGACCCCCAGGTGTCCCCAGACCCCCAGGTGTCCCCAGACCCCCAGGTATTCCCAGACCCCCAGGTGTCCCCAGACCCCCAGGTGTCCCCAGACCTCCCCAGGTATCCCCAGACCCCTCCAGGTGTCCCCAGACCCTCCAGGTGTCCCCAGACCCCCCCAGACCCCCCCAGGTATCCCCAGACCCCTCCAGGTGTCCCCAGACCCCCAGGTATCCCCAGACCCCCAGCCCCCAGGTGTCCCCAGACCCTCCCAGGTGTCCCCAGGTGTCCCCAGACCCCCAGACCCCTCCAGGTTTCCCCAGAACTCCCCCAGGTGTCCCCAGACCCCCAGGTGTCCCCAGACCCCCAGGTGTCCCCAGACCCCCAGGTGTCCCCAGACCCCCCAGGTGTCCCCAGACCCCCAGAGTGTCCCAGGTGTGTCCCCAGACCCCCCCAGGTGTCCCCAGACCCCCAGGTGTCCCCAGGTGTGTCCCCAGACCCCCAGGTGTCCCCAGACCCCCAGGACCTCCCAGGTGTCCCCAGACGTCCCCAGACCCCCAGGTGTCCCCAGACCCCCAGGTGTCCCCAGACTCCCCAGACCCCCTCAGGTGTCCCCAGACTCCCCAGACGCCCCTCAGACCCCCCAGCCGCCCCCAGGTGTCCCCAGACCCTCCAGGTGTCCCCAGGTGTGTCCCCAGCCCCTCCCCCAGCCCCTCCCCACTCACACGTCGCTCTCCCAGCCCCTCCCCAACTGCTCCAGGAGGCTCTTCCCGCCCTCCTTGGGGCTTTCCACCTTTTTGGGGGGTCGTGAGGGTGAGGGGGTCTCACCCTCCCCTTCCCCCTCCCCACCCCCCACCCTCCCCACCTGCCCCAGGGCGCTCTCACCAAATTCACCAACGTGGGGCTCGTCCTCACCACGAACCTGTCGGCACCTGGGGGGTCAGGGGGTGGGTGGGGTCTGGGGGTGGGGAGAGGGAGTGACCCTCCCCAGTTTAGGGGGTGGGGAGGGTCGCACCCAGCACGGCGCGGTCCAGGCTGATGTAGGCGGCCACTTTTTGGTGTGGAGGAGGGAGGGGTAGCCTAAAGGGGGAGGGAGGGGTTAGTTGGGGTGTGGGGGTCTTGGGGGCCGTGGGGATGGGAGGAGGTCGTTCAGGGTCACCTCGAGCCACTCAGTGGCCCCCAAATGTCCGAACTCGGCCCCGTCCCAGCTGACGAAGAGGAGGGTCCGGCGGAGCTGGAAACCTTGGGGGGAGGGGATTTTGGGGGTTTTGGAGGAGAGGAGGGGTTGAGACCTCTCTTCTCCCCTCCCCATCAGGGTGGGAGAGAGCCACAGGATGGGGAGGCCCAGGTGATGGAAGGATTTTGGGGGAGGGGTCTCAACACCCCACAGAACAACTTTCACCCTCCTCCCCAAAAAATGTTTGGGACCCTCCCAACCCCCACTCCAAAAATTTTGGGGACCCTCTCCTCTCAATAATTTGAAACCCTCCTCCAAAAAGTTTGGGACCTCCAACCCACCCTGAAACTTTTGGGGACCCTCCCCTCCTCAATCATTTGGATACCCCCACGACCCCCCAAAAACCCCCAAAACATCAAAGGATCGCACCCCTTTATTTTCCCTCAGGCCACGCCCCACTCCAGGCCACGCCCCCTGGCCACGCCTATCACTCAGACCACGCCCCCAGGCCACGCCTCACCTCTCGACCAATGGCAGCAAGCAACTGGGCGAGCTCGAGCAGGAGGGCGGTAAGCACTCGAGGCTCTGCCGCCTGGCCCAGCGAATCCTGTTGGGCCCTCACGATGACGTAACAGTCTGGGGAGGGGCGGGTCAGAGAGGACACGCCCCCTTCTCACCCCTGAATTGGCCACGCCCAGATTGGCCACGCCCACCTATGAGCAAGTGAGGTTTGGCCACGCCCATGTGGGGCACACCCCAAAATTGGCCACACCCCAAAATTGACCACACCCCAAATTGATCACACCCAAATCTGCCACACCCTAAATTGGCCACACCCCAAAATTGACCACACCCAACCAGACCACACCCCAAACTTGGCCACACCCAAAATTGACCACACCCTAAAATTGACCACATCCCAAAATTGACCACACCCACTTTGACCACACCCAACATTGACCAGGCCCCAAATTGACCACACCCCTAAATTGACCACACCCTAAATTAGCCACACCCTAAATTGGCCACACCCCAAAAATTGACCACACCCCAAATTTGACCACACCCAAAATTGACCACACCCCAAACAGACCACACCCAAAATTGACCACACCCCAAATTGGCCACACCCAAAACTGACCACACCCCAAATTGACCACACCCCAAAATCAACCCCACCCTAAATTAACCACACCCCAATTTGACCACACCCAAAATGACCACACCCTAAATTGGCCACACCCAAATTGACCACGCCCCAAATTGACCACACCCCCAAATTGACCACCCCCAAATTTGCCACACCCAAAATGACCACACCCCAGATTGGCCACACCCAAAATTGACCACACCCCTAAATTGACCACACCCTAAATTGGCCACACCCCAAAATTGACCACACCCAACCAGACCACACCCCAAATTGGCCACACCCAAAATTGACCACACCCCTAAATTGACCACACCCTAAATTAGCCACACCCCAAAATTGACCACACCCTAAATTAACCACACCCTAAATTGGCCACACCCCAAAAATTGACCACACCCCAAATTTGACCACACCCCCAAATTGGCCACACCCAAAATTGACCACACCCCAAAATTGACCACACCCAAAATTGACCACACCCTAAATTGACCACACCCAAATTGACCACACCCCTAAATAACCACACCCTAAATTAACCACACCCAAAATTGACAACACCCAAAATTGGCCACACCCAAAATTGACCACACCCAAAATTGACCACACCCCAAATTGGCCACACCCAAAACTGACCACACCCTAAATTGACCACACCCCAAATTGGCCACACCCCTAATTGACCATACCCTAAATTGGCCACACCCCAAATTGACCACACCCAAAACTGACCACACCCCAAACCGACCACACCCTAAATTAACCACACCTCAAAATTGACCACACCCAAAACTGACCACACCCAAAATGACCACACCCAAAAATAACCACACCCCAAATTGACCACACCCAAAATTGACCACACCCCAAACTGACCACACCCCAAATTGGCCACACCCACTTTGACCACACCCTAAATTGGCCACACCCCAAATTGACCACACCCAAAATTGACCACACCCAAAATTGACCACACCCCAAATTGACCACACCCAAATTGGCCACACCCACTTTGAGCACACCCTAAATTGACCACACCCCAAATTAACCACACCCCAAATTCACCACGCCCCAAAATTGACCACACCCCAAAACTGACCACACCCAACCAGACCACACCCCAAACTGACCACACCCCAAAATTGACCACACCCCAAAATTGACCACACCCAAAATTGACCACACCCACTTTGATCACACCCTAAAATTGACCACACCCAAACAGACCACACCCAAACAGACCACACCCTAAATTGACCACACCCAAATTGACCACACCCAAAATCAACCACACCCTCCCACCAAAGCAACCACACCTTGATTAGCCCCACCCCCTCCCTTCAGCCCCACCCCCTCCCTTCAGCCCCACCCCTCCTTCAGCCCCACCCTCCCTTCAGCCCCTAGCCCTCCCCGAGGCCCCGCCCTCCCCCTGAGGCCCCGCCCCTCCCCTGAGGCCCCGCCCCTCCCCATCAGGCTCCACCCTCCCCTCAGGCCCCGCCCCTCCCCCTCATGCCCCACCCCTTCCTCCGAGGCCCCGCCCCTCCCCAGGCCCCGCCCCTCACCGGGCTCAGAGCCGCCCCCGCAGAGTCCAGAACGCTGGTGAGGTCCCGGGCTCCGTCCCCACCTGAAGCTGCAGCGCCGCCGCCCGGCCCGGCAGGAACTGCAGGGACCCCAGGACCCCCGGGGCAGGAACCAGTGGGGGCGCGGGACCCCAGGACCCTGGAATGGGGGGACAATCAGGGTACAATCCCACTTTGGGGACCCCCAGACCCTTCAGGGACCCCAGGACCCCCGGGGCAGGAACCAGTGGGGGGCGCGGGACCCAGGACCTGGAATGGGAGAGGGGGACAATTAAGTATGAACCCCCCTTTGGGGACCCCCCAGGACCCTTCGAGAGGACCCCAGGACCCTGGAATGGGAGGGGAATTAGGGTATGAACCCCCTTTGGGACCCCCAGAGCCCTTCCAGGGACCCCCCGGGACCCCCCCAGGGCAGGAACCAGTGGGGGGCGCAGGGACCACCCAGGACCCTGGAATGGGGAGGGGGGACAATCAGGGTACAACCCCCCCTCTTTGGGGACCCCTCCCCAGACCCCTGGAATGGGGAGGGGAGAGAGACAATCAGGGCACGACCCCCACTTTGGGACCCCCAGAAACCTTCAGGGACCCCAGACCCCTCTTTGGGACCCCAGGACCCTGGAATGGGGAGGAGAGGGGACAATCAGGGCACGACCCCCTTCGGGGACCCCAACTATTTTTGGGGGTCCCATCCATTTTTGGGGGTCCCAGCTATTTTGGGGGGTCCCAGCTATTTTGGGGGGTCCCAGCCATTTTGAGGTGGGGATCCCATCTATTTTTGGGGGGTCCCAGCTATTTTGGGGGTCCCAGCTATTTTTGGGGGTCCCAGTTATTTTGGGGGTCCCAGCTATTTCTGGGGGGTCCCAGCTATTTTTGGGGGTCCCAGCTATTTTGGGGGGTTCCATCTATTTTGGGGGGCCCAGCTATTTTGGGAGGGTCCCAACCATTTTTGGGAGGGTCCCAACTATATTTTTGGAGGGTCCCAGCCTATTTTTGGGGGGTTCCATCTATTTCTGGGGGGTCCCAGCCATTTTGGGGGATCCCAGCTATTTTTGAGAGGGTCCCAGTTATTTTTTATGGGGGGTCCCAGCTATTTTGGGGGTTCCTAACTATTTTGAGGGTCCCAGTTATTTTTGGGGAGTTGTCCCAACTATTTTTGGGGGTCCCAATTATTTTTAGGGGGTGTCCCAGCTATTTTGGGGGTCCCAATTATTTTTAGGGGGTGTCCCAGCTATTTTTGGAAGTTATTTTTTTGGGGGTCCCAGCTATTTTTAAGGGGGTCCCAACTAGTTTTTAGGTGTCCCAGCTATTTTTGGGGGCAGGTCCCAGCTATTTTTGGGAGGGTCCGAGCTATTTTTTGGGTGGGGGGTCCCAACTATTTTTGGGGGTTATCCCAATTATTTTTGGGGTGTCCCATCTATTTTTAGGGGGTCCCATCTACTTTTGGAGGGTCCCAGCTATTTTTGGGGTGTCCCAACAATTTTAGGAGGTCCCAACTATTTTGAGGGTCCCAGCTATTTTGGAGGTATCCCAGTTATTTTGGGGGGTCCCAGCTATTTTTAGAAGGTCCCAACTATTTTTGGGGGTTCCCATCTATTTTTAGGAGGTCCCAACCATTTTAGAGGGTCCCAGCTATTTTGGAAGCTACTATTTTGGGGGGTCCCAGCTATTTTGGGGGTGTCCCAGCTATTTTTTGGGAAATCCCAGCTATTTTGAGGGGGGTCCCCAATTTGGGGTGTCCCCCTCACCGCAGCAGCTTCTTGGCCGTGTTGGTGCTGATGGGGTGGGGCGGGGATTGGGGGCACCCCGGGGTTCAGGGGGCCCTGCCCGTGAAGGAGGAGACCCCCGGCTGAAGGGTCCCCTGCCCCCTCCTGCACCTGTGGGGACAACGTCAGAGCCCCCCAAACCCCCCCAAAAAAAACCAAACCTTCCTGAGACCCCAAAACCAGCCCCAAAATTCCCCCTAAGATCACCAACGACCCCTGAACACCCCAAAAAAACCCCAAATCCTCCCAGGACCCCCAAAAACTCCCCAAGACCCCCCTCCGACCCCAAAAACTCCCCAAGACCCCCTCCGACCCCAAACTCCCCCAAACCCCCTCCCAGGAGCCCCCAAAACCCCCAATCCCTCCCTGTGACCCCAAATTGCCCCCAAACCCCCAAGACCCCCAAACCAC